GAGTGGTTGATAAGATGTAGGTATCGGCCTACAGCCGATTTTGCGACGATGGTGATGGGATTAGATTATTTTTTTTTTTTAAATGCGTATGGAAATTATACGGAAAATGATGATATTAAACTGAATAATACGATTCGATTTAGTACTCATTAATTTAATGATGCGATAAGCGAAGGTCACGACGATCGACAGACGTGTGCTAAAGAAGTTAGACTTTAATTTTAAAACAAATTTATCTTTTTTTTTATTACCTTTAATATTTATCTAAATATATTTCAATTTAGTTATCTTATATCTTTATCTATATACATTTTTATGTATTTAAAAAAAAAATACATAAGAAAATAAGAATATTTATATTTCGATACGATCATATAGAAGATTATTAGACCTTATAAAAACAATAATAGCGGTGGTTGAATTGAAAATCAATTAAATTTTGAAAATTAATATTACATGAAACAATTTAATGTTTTTAATAATGAACGACAGGTATCTTAGTATCTAGACACTTAAATACAAGTAGATACATCTCAAGTATTAAGTATTTTCGGATTTAAATACTTAATTATGAATACTTATAGATCATTTAGTACCGCTAAATTCATATGAGTAGATGGTAAGTATGTAGTTTTTATACACTAAATTTATCTTGAAAGTTATGTTTTAGTTTTATAATTTGTATGTAAGTATATTAATGTTATAAAATATTAATAGATCCATATATTTGAGAAATGATTTTGTGTGAACAAACCTAAAATTTATCTCTTTAAACTCAAAATTTAAACTAAGGTTTAAATTGTTTTATGTTAAAATTGTTAATTATATATTAGACATTAACAGTGGCGTAACACAACAATTTGAGCCCCCACTAAAAATAAAAAATGGGTTTACTCGCATTTTCGATATCTATATTAATGTTTTGTACATTTTTAAAATGGTTTTTTATATTATACTCTGTATTATTACATTTAGAATAAATTTAAAAAATAATGTACCTACTTTTTCAGTGAATTTCATAGGCAGAAAACCGGGGAGGGGAGGAGATTGAGGGGATTAAACCCACCCAAAAATGTAAAGTACAGGTCTTAGCCCCCTTTTTTTTATTTGAAAATTTACAATCTGTATTAACAAAAACACAAAAAGTAAGTGTGGTAGTGTGTACAACAAAACAATATAATAATATAATACAATATAATAAACAGAATGGCGTGATAAGGGAGACTATCCAATGATAGAACCCTTCAGACTTGAATTAAAAATAATTTATTAATTTTATTTTGTTATTTTAGTTTTATAATTATATATATATCATAATTGATCTCGACACCAGCGCCTTTTTAGGTGACAAGGGGGTTGTCAGGTAGTTTAAGTGAGGACAAATGGGAAATCAAATGATTTTGGTGTTGCTGCAATTTTTTATGAAATTTAATGTAATATTGTTTGGTTAGTTGTTCAACGGTTTGTGTTTTTAAGTCCTTGTGGAGTGCGTTATTTGTTTGATATCAACACCTTGCAGATGAAGGGGTGGAGAGTCTTTTTTTCTGAGTGTGAATGGAACATGAAAAGATTTGTCGGAGTTTATTTTAACTCTCCATCTAGTTGCCCAGGTACTTATTAAACCAATGTGGTTTTGGAGAGAGGAGGAAGCTATATCAGGATCTATTTCGAAAGTAAAAATGGCTAAATCATCAGCATAGGTTGCGATAATTTTGTTAAACTGTTATGGGAAAATCGGATGTATATATATTAAACAGATCAGAGGAGAGATCACTTCCTTGCGGGACTCCAGCTAATATTGAAAAATATGGAGAGGTTGAGGTGCCTTGCCTAATTGAAAAAGTTCGGTTAAGAAGATAAGAACGGATTAGCAAATAGTATAATGTTGGAAGGAATTTTTTTAACTTGTAAAGGAGACCATCATAACGATCAAATACCTGGGTTAAGTTTAGGAAAACTCCAGGGCAGTATTTTTTATTTTCAAAAAAGATTGCAATTTTATCAGTGAGACGGTGGATTTGGTGTATTGTTGAGTAGTTAGTTCTGAAGCCAAATTGTAAGTGAGATATTATATTCTTGGATTTTATTATTGGTCTTTTTATTATTTTTATTATTATTCTTTTCAAGATAATTTTTTCAAATATTTTTCCTAAAGTAGGAAGAAGACTAATTGACCTATATGAAGATATTAAATGTTTTGGTTTATGAGTTTTGTGTACAAGAATTACTATTGAGAACTTCCATGTTAAAGGAAAATAAGAGAGTCTTAACATGGAGTTGTAAATTAATGCGAGAAGAATAATTGTTTTATTTGGTAGATGTTTCAGCATTATGTTAGAAATTAGATCGTATCCGGGTGATTTTTAATTTATTAATTATTTGCTTAACTTTACTTGGAGAGGTGTGCATTGCTAGGAGATTCATGGGTAGTGGACTATTCAAAAAGTTATTTATTGTGTTCAGATGTTCAGAATTTAGATTTATGTTTGGGTGGGGAGTAAATATTTTTGAGAGATAATTTCCAAAAAGATTGGCCTTATCATTGTCTGATACAGCAAGTGCATCACTTGGATCATATCATTATATAATATAATATAAAATAATATCAAAATTACTATTCGATAAACTACAAAAATCTTGATTTAACGGAGTTATTTTTCAATTAAATTTAGCTTGTATGTTTGTCTTGAGAGAAACATATTTCTATGCTGTATATCACGGGATTGGTTTATTGGAATTTTGAGGTAAATAAATAATTGAAATCAGCTTTGTAACTTTATAGTGAAATATGAGAAAATTAATATTATGAACAATTATGAAGACTTAGTGCAATCTTTGGTATGAATTACTTTTTCTTTTTTCTCTCATTTTTTTCTTACCGACAAATGATTTCTTCGGTCCCACAATTATGAATTCTGAGACTCGTGTGCAAGGATTTATTTGGAGGCCCCAAATTAATACTACATTTTTTTACTTGATCTTTGTATTACTACAGCAATTACTATGTATTTTTAATATTATAACTTCAATTGAGTCATCTGTAATCTGATAATATACTATACTATAGTATAGTTAACTATATAATATAGTTAACTATACTATAGTATAGTTAACTATATAATATAGTTATTTAATATAAAACTCATGAAATATCCAAAATAAATTTTAACTCATGCAATTTATTCTTTTTATTGATATTAACTGTATATAAATAATATAAAATTATTAAATATAATTAATATAATTAATCATATTTTTATTTTTTAATACAACCCTTCAATTACAATATAATAATCAACAATTTATTAATTCACCTTAAATTTAAATTATTTTAAAAGTTTTTTTTTTTTAGAATTTGTATTGGCAAAGTCTGTTATAATTTTATCAATATTGAATTCTCGTGTCCGTTTGTTTTCTATATTCAAAATGCTTTTATTTTTCAATCGATCTTGAGATAAAGCATTACGAAAATAATTTTTTACTAATTTAAACTTAGAATAGCTGCATTCTGCAGACGCAAGTTATTGGTAATGTTAAAAATAAAAGACATGCAGTTAATACATCTGGATAACTTGAAGACAAATCCATTTCAATAATAAATATACATAGATTATTTATGTTTTGAAGGTTTTGAGATAAAATGATTGTTTTTAAGCATACAATTTGCCACGTGAAATCTGCAGTAATGCCGCCACTAGTAATAACAGATAGATGCGTAATTTCTATAATTTGTACGTCAATAAAGTCGTGGCACTCAAAAGTAATTATAACCGATAATAGCAACATTACAGACAACAAAACTATAAATAGGTACTAAACTACGAAATAATATAAGTAATATAACAGTCATGATCTTACTATCGCACCGGGTTTCTATGAAAAAGAATTACTGATAACTTTGATACCGGTTTACTGTAAAACTGAATTATTTATTGATCCATTTTAAAATACTAGGTACTTGCATAATATTATCATCTTCTTATGCTAATAATAAATGTATTGAAAATCAACTACAAAAAATCAAAATATTTTCGAAGCATGAGCCATGAGAAAGCAACGAATACCTATATTGGCTAGATATATTTTGAAACAGACTATTTTCAATTTTTAGTTTTTGCTTTAGAAGGCCTTTTTGAACCGTCCGTTGAAAAGGTCCGTATGCATTGCACACTTTGTACACCCAATTGTTGTAGCACTGGCCCTCCTACTCCATTCTAGATTCCCTCATTAATATAGCGCTACACAATCAGCTATATTTCTGGTATCAGTATTCAAGTTAAATATTGTTCCAAATATAGTAAAAAATAATACTAAAACATTTTTTTTTATTTTATCAAATTTTTTAAAAAATCAAATCATATTTGTAAAACAGATCTAACGATCTAATTGTTTAGGTCCCTTAAAAGTCATTATAAGTGAAATCAACCATACATATCGTACTATCAGTGCAAGAGGGCTATGTATCAAAAATATTAAATTGTTCAGGAGAGCATTTCTAATGTTTGATAATTTATAGTAGTTTGTAATTTTCTTCTGCTAAATATCAATAAGACTAACTAGACCTTATAATATTGTTATTAACAAGTATAATTTAAAGGCCAAATTTCGTATTACGGCTTTATTGTTTTCAGCTACCTCTCGATCTATCTTAGTGCAATATGTTTATTTATATATCTGACGATTTAAAAATATAATTACATAGATCGCGCACCACTCTAAAAAAAAAAAAAAAATACGAATTCAGAGATACCAAAAACGTAGATTAAAAATGTTTTGATATATGGCCCTCTTGCACTGATAGTGCGATATGTTATATACGAGTAAGTAATGTAATATATTATTACAAGAATTGTAAACAATTTTTTAATACTTTCAGCTTTTTTATGCATATATTTTTATACTTTGGATTTTTAAGATATAAACTTGTTTTAATGTAGAATAAATATCATGTCTTTTTATTTGTATGGCACTTTATAAAATAATATTTTATTGTTTTATAGATTCTTGGCATTACTGGGATTAGTTTTAATCGCAATTGGTACAGGTGGTATAAAACCATGCGTTTCCTCATTTGGCGGTGATCAATTTGATCTTCCTGCACAAGAAGTATATCTACAAAAATTCTTTTCCATATTTTATTTTTCTATCAATGCTGGTTCTCTTATTTCAACATCCATAACTCCAGAGTTAAGAAAAGACGTCCAATGTTTTGGTCGGAACACTTGTTTCCCATTGGCTTTTGGGGTACCTGCTTTATTAATGATAATCGCAATATGTAAGTATGATATAGTATAATATTTGTATATAAATTTTTTTCCTTTTTTATTATGAAATATTTAAAAATATCTATATAAAATGTACTTAGTGCATTATGAAAATATACAGTGCTATTTTTATGAAATATTTCTGTGTATTAAACATAATTTTTAAAATTTCGTTTTTAACATACCTAAAAAAGTATAAACAAAACAGACTTAATGAAACAAATTAAAAAAAAAAATTAAACCATATCCTTTTAAATGTATTCTTGTTTGATAAAAATATATTTTCTTTTATTCAAAGGTCTTATACAGTATTTAGGAAATAATAATCTTATTAATATTCAATAGATTATCTAACTTGAAATTTTATCTAAAGTATCACTTTAAACGTGGTTATGATTAGGATTAGGGACATATAGCTCTAAAAAATACACAAATATGCTTCTAAAATCATTAAAATATGCATTTATATGCATTAAAAAAAAAAATGACCACATAGTACATAAAATAAAACGTGTCCATCGAATGTAAATGTATCTTTAAACTCCGAAACAAAAGTTTGTAGTCGGCTACTCGTAGACTGTTGTACTTTCGCCATTACACAATGTTACAAAATACGTATGACGTTTTATGTATGATTCGACGTTGCGTAGTTGCGAGACGCAAAAATAACGAGGGATAATAATCAACTGAACTGAACACTAAATAAATAATCTATTATTCTATATCAACTATTATCTTTATCGACATCCGGTCCAGATACGATCGATACGGGTTTATAGTATTATTTATACTTACACAAAAATTATAACGAGATATATGAGGTAGTTTGCAGATATCATATTATTGGAAATATTAAGTACTTATTATTAAGTACATTTTTATTTTCGATCGTTTGAAACATGTATATATAGTTCTATGTATTTATAGTTAATAATTTTAAATTTAAAAAAATTGTCAAAATATGCAAAATAAGCATAACAATTTTAAAATATGCACTTTCCTGCAAAATCTATCAAATATACAAAAATATGTACATTTTAAATCTGATATCATGGCATCGAGAAACGAATTTATTTCACACTCTGCTATAATTAACAATAATTAAAAAAAGTATGCAAATGCATACTAAGCTAAGCCTAATTATGATTATATGATTCGATATGCACGACAATATTTACGAACTTATATAATTTTATCACAAATAAGCATTAAATTAATCGAGTGTTTAAATATTTTAATTTACTATAAAATATTTCGTTTTTTCATTTATATAAAATTGTAATTTATTCATGTAAATGTTTGAAACTTCTTTTCTATTTATATTGTTTAAATTGAAATTAATTTTAAAACACATCTTTAAAATTCATAAATTTAACAAAATATTGGTGTTTGATTTAAAAAATAACGAAAAAAAAATTTGGACTAATTTGGCAATTACTTAAAATACCCTCCATACTCAGAGTTTTTTCGACAATGAAATCTGATTTATATTATTGTTAATTTGGTCAATTTAACATATTTTCAGTGGTCAATTTGGAAAAATTAAAGAAGAGGGACTCTATTTACTTAAAAAAAAAGTATTCTTAAAACTTGTCTAGCATTATAATTATAAAATAATAATAGTAGGGGGACGCTAACATTTCTGAAAACTAGTTGGGGTACTCCGTTCCCCTGTGTCCCACCTTCAAATCGAACACTGCATATTTTAGTCATAAAATCACATAATTTATTTACCTACCTAAAAAGTATTTATTTTAAATTATAGTTGTTTTCGTATGTGGCAAATTTATGTATAGAATCAAGAAACCAGATTCTAATGTCATTGTAACATCATTTGCATGTATTTATGTAAGTTATTAAAATGCATAATTTGATTAAATTTAATAAATTTTTAAATATTTCAGAACACTCATTTTAAAATCTAATTTATTAACTAAAACAATAATATTTGTGAATGTATATTTATTTTAACCTTTCTTTAATAATACTAAAACCATGATTGAATATTTCTGTAATTATAAGTTAATAACTAATTGTAATATACATTATTGTACGAAATGTAAACGCATACACAAAGGGTTTAACTCCCATCCTCGAAATTCAGTAAAAACATTAAATATATTTTTATAGAGAAAAAATGTTAAAAAGCTTATAATATAATCTTTTTAACATTTTATAATTTAAGCATTAAAATTTACAACCTAAACTTCCCAAATTATACTTTTTGTGTACGCGCCTAATCAAATTAATAATTTTTTTAATAAATGCATTGTAAAAAATTATAAGAACAAAATTATTCAAATTTATTTTAATATTTTCTAGAATGCATTAAAAAATAGATTATTATTAACTACATCAAATACAACGAAAGACCATTGGTTACAATACGCAGATGACAAATTTTCAACAAAAGAAATTTCAGATGTACGTGCTGCTCTTGATGTGATGTATTTATTTATTCCATTTCCATTCTTCTGGGCTTTATTTGATCAACAAGTAAGAGTTATATCTGATATTAATATTAAAATGTATAAGTTATATTGTACCGTAGCATTTGTATTTATTATTTAAATTAATTATTCTAAAAATAACTAAAAATAACCTAATCATAGCTATTATTTTATTTTATTCAAATAACTACTTATAGTTATTAACTTATTTATTATATATCTAGTTTAAAACTTGAAAATCAATACCCATAAAAATATTAATATCCTATTCTAACGCATTTGTTTTTATTTTACATACCATTTGATATTTTTAAAACAATTCAGGGTTCTCGTTGGACATTACAAGCCACTTTGATGAATGGTAGAATTGATTTTCTCAACTGGACCATGAAACCTGATCAAATGCAAGTACTGAATCCTCTATTAGTTTTGTTATTTATTCCAATTTTTGAAACAGTAGTTTATCCAGCACTAGCCAAAATTGGTATTCGAAAACCATTGCAAAAAATTGCATTGGGTGGATTTATAGCAGCCTTGGCATTTGTTCTATCGGCTTTTGTACAAAACAAAATTATTGTAAGTAGTATTTAAAATTATTCATTAAATGTAATTTAGATAAGTATTTATATCTTTCAAAGATTAAAATATAATACCAATTTATTTTTATTAAAAATAAATATATTCAAATATTCTCTCAAATTTTATGAATAATTATGACTTTTAAATTTATATAACTAACAAAATAATAACTTAAACCATTTACTTTTTATCTTGAAAAAAATCGATAATACATTTGCCACCTGGAAATTCTGTTAAGCAGTTCTTCAGGTGGTGGGTCGTCATAGTTTATTAGAAACTTTACAACAATAACAATTTTGGCGAATTGGAACAATCATCCTCAGTCAACCCCTCACAATATTTTTTTATACAACTTTAGTTTGGAACAGCCGTGGATATTTTCCCGTGACCTGCTCCTTACAAAAATAGTGTCCTAACCACCAGTGAATGGAATGCGTTGATCGAAGGACGGCGAGATGGTCCTGAGGATCACGATCTCTAAGGTGTTCATAAAATCTGATTAAGGGGTTTCCAATAATTTAACACCAAATGAAAAGATTATATATTCTTATTTTTATTGTAGCCTTTAGACTATACTGCTAAACTCAAACTTTGCCATCTGTTTCTGTCTTCCGCTATTAATCTCCATTTGATATCAGGTTCTATATTGTTAGCGTCTTTCTTCACATAATCTTCCCATCTTAGTTTAGGTCTACCTAATGATCTTTTTTCCATACGGTATTCTACAATCACCTATTTAACTAACGCTCCCGGCTTGTTCCTTTCATAACCTGCCCACCTTATTCTTCGTTCGGCAATCAATCTAACTATATTAAATTTCTGAAAAAATCTTTGTTGTTCAACGTTTTCTTTCAAATATCATTAGTCTTCTGTTTTTCTCAGTTTTATATTATTTATATTATTTTATATAACTTATATTTTAGATATTATACAACTTTAATTTTGTATTTTTTTTTATGTATTTGATTAATTAAAGAAATATTATAATTTCCTAAAATTAACGATTTAATTTATATGAATATAATTTTTGTATGCATTAAGTAAGTATATATTTCATACTTACATAATATTGGTAAGATATATATACATAGGTCGAATAAATACATTTGAGATTAGTGGTTTAAAATAGGTTGTGCACGGCTGGACTAAACGATGTCTCCGCACCGCTTTCCTTCTCACGCACCGTGAGGGTACTATCCCTTGCCGAGCTTGTCTTTCGCGTTCTACGTCGTTCTTGGTGGCCCTCATTTCTGCCACGAAGCGGATAACTATATCCCAATTGGACGGGTTTTACAGCATTAAATATAAAAATGCAATCTAAAATTTATAATTCGTCGTAGAAAAATGTGAAAAATTAATGATTTTATTTATTTATTGACACTAGTTACTGAGCTGTCCTATATTTTTTTGACTAAAAAAATCTCCATAGAAATCTCCTGCCATCTTAACCACTTATGAAAATATTCCTGGTAAGCATAAATGGGAATAGGCTTAAGATCGATTTTCATATTTTGTTTAATATCATCAATGGTTTGAAAACGACATCCTTTCAGTATCGATTTTAACTTCGGAATCAAAAAAAAAAAAAAAGTAGCACATAGCCAGACCGGGTGTGTAATAGTTGAGGAATTACTTCGCTAAAAATTAACGAATGAGCAATTAGCCGGAGTGAAATTGCAATGATCTATAAACCAGAATGTTTTCATGATGCAACATCTAAGAACCACTTTTCCACCTTTCTGCCCTTTTATTTCTAATATTTTCACGTAATTTTTTGACAAGAACATTGTAAAATTTCCACGTCTTTTTCGACTTCTCCAATAGTTAATTTACGATTATTTCAAATAATTTCACGATCACGAGCAACGATTCCATTAGTTTTACTGGTTAAGGTTTATCCTTAATATATACCATTCTTAAACCGTTTAAACCACTCAAAATATGTTAGACGAGACAGAAAATCATTTTCATAACTTTGTTGAGAATTCAAATTTCAATTGAACTTTTCTCTATTTTAAAACAAAATTTCAGTGCCACTTTTCTGGTCGCGCAAACTTCTGAGTGACGTTGCTAACTTGGTAGCGCTTTCATGTATGAAAAAAAAACTTGTGGGTGGCGCTTCTCTGGTAGCTTCGTCTGAAAGAAGCCTTTAAGGTGTGATTCCTATGCATGTGTCTAGAGACGCGTAGCTAATGCGGAGCGATTTAATTTTAGTCGCGCATGTATAACTTTACTTGTTTTTAAATATAACCGATTTTTAAGACCGCGGCCGTCGCGTGCGGCGACGACTATTTCGAGGACAGTCAAATCACACGATCCGCGTGGCTATTCATATTTTAATTTTACAAAGTTTGATATTTTATGAACATTGTGTGACATAAAATGTCTTCAAAAGCATTATTCACAATAGAAGAAGATACACAACTGAATATCCGAAGCGCAGATTTATCACATACAAGCTTGTTGTGCGTAGTAACGTCCATACTGAGCACACACAACACACAAAGTGAGCACACATGCTCGGTCTATGTGTGCTCTAGTGTGTACGCGGCTTTAGGCGTTTCCAATATTTATCATTGCGTGGGCAATCTATGTATATTTAATCAATACTATCTTGGAACTAATCATTAACTCTAATAAACATTTAAATGTTGAAAAATCTTATGAACCACTTGTCTTTTAACACATATCACCCTGCATTAAATTTATATTAAATCACTAATATTTCTTTTCCCTGCTGTGATCGCAGTCATTTGTTCTACAATTTCAGGAAAGCTAATTACAATAGTATTCGCAAATTTATCTCCTCTTTCGATTGGTATGCCACATTTCTCCCTCACAATATTAACTCAGCTACCTACCAATATATTTTATGATGCTTTGCATAAATCAATCATCGACTTTGTTCCTCAATGTAGATTTTACGAATCTATTTATTCTCCTTAGTTTAATACCGAGCTCAAAAAATATTATGCATAAAAATGAAGTGCAATCTAAGTTTAAGTCCTCTTCCAACATATCCCATTATAAAAAATTCTCATATCTTCGTGCCAGTGGCGTACATAGGAATTAATTTTGGGGGGGTTATGAAAAAATATATACTTAATGAAGGTTATAAATTAACTTACTTTTAATAACTATGAAAATTAGAATACATAAATTTAATTACAGGACAAAGTCTGATTTTCAAGGTAGATTTGCAAAATTATTTATTACTTCTTCAGTGTTTATTGAAATACTTCGATGGTTTGACATGAGAACTAATCCTGTTGTTCGATTTTCGCTTGTACTATTCTCAAGTACGATTCCAATCTTTTCAATGTCGAAAACGATCTTTCTGATGACACTGTTGAGACTGGTCAAGTTACTAATACCATATATTTGGAAAAAAATCAACGGATAGTTTATTCGATAACAGAATTTGGACATTCATTTTGAGGAATTTTTTTCCATTTTTCTGTACAAATTTTAATTCTGCTTCAAATGTATCGTAACTGGGTAAAACATTTTCATAAAAGAGTATACATTTTTCAAAATCATTATAACTGGGTTTAAATTTGTTAAGGAGATTTGGAATCAACTTTTGTAATATAGAAATAATTTCATTATGTTTTGATAATCGTTCTATTAATTGATTTTAAAAATAATCAATAAATGGTTTAAATATCGTTTGGTTATAATACTGCTCCGGTGATTCAGCTGGCATATTACTACGAGACTATTGGCACCCGGTAATTCGAAGTATTTGAATAGTTTCATCCAATACACTACATTTTTTTTTCGGCTTCTAAAAACAAACTGACATTTTTTATCGGCATTTATACGAATAGAAGATAAAACTTCTATACAATTTGTAACATTTTCACAACATTCAGATAAATCACAATTTACTTTTTGTAATGCATTACATAATGGCAATATAAATGAAAATAATTTTTCTATGACATATAATGCTATTATAAATTGAGACGCACGATGAGTTTTAGATAATTGAAAAGCTACTTGTGATATTTCTAAATTGTGATTACTTTCGAGATCATTTAATGTATACGCTATAACTTCGCTATAAATTCTTTAAATCTTAACATACTTTCGTGACGATTTACCCAACGTTTTTCACACATTTTTATAAGAGTACACTGTTGAGTACTTGGAATATGTTTTTTTATACATTTTTTTAAAACTGCAGATCTCATTGGAGATTTTCGAAAGAAATTTATAATTGTAGAAGCTGACCCAATACAGTTTCGTATTTCAGGAATGGTACACGATTTTCCGATTGCTAAATTAAGCGAGTGAGCCGCGCTAATATACTTTTGGACACCATTATACAAGCCACTCATTGCACTCGCCTCATCGTAATCTTGCCCGATTAAATTTTCTATTTTAAGTCCTAGTTTTCCTATTTCTCGAATAATTGTATATGCCATACCTTTTCCACTAGCATCATAAATAGGGACAAATTCTAAAAAGTCTTCTCTGATACAACCATTATCAATATATGTTACACACAAAGACATTTGTTCGATACGAGATATATCACATGTTTCATCTGCTAAAATAGCAAAGAATTTTGTTTGGTTCACTTTAAATACAATTTCTTTTTGAATAAGAGAGCCACATATTTGTATAATTTCATTTTGAATTATGGGACTAATGTAAACCGATTTTCCCGATGAATTCATCAAATTGTAGAGTCTGATCACCACTTAATGCTTGAAATCTTAACAAAGATCGAAAGTTACCGTCATTATTATCTTTCTCACAATTAAAAATTGGTCCATTATCGTTGTGACCTCTCATAGCTAATTCTTGACGACCGCAAAAAATTATTGTTTCTATTATTGATATTAATTTTAAGCGATTTTCGATAACTTGAGCTTTTCTAAAAGAATCTACTTGTGTTGTTACATCAAATGTTTTATTTTCTATTATTTTAACAAACTCTTCCGCTCTTAAAGTTGATAATTTATGATAATCAGTATTTGAATGCGTTA